TGTCCATTAAATGATAGATTAAACATTGGCGTCAATTGTGCCAGGCACGTGGCTTGTCAAATTGTTCACACACGTGACCCGCCGCCGACAAAAATACCCAAAAAATCGCTCAAAAATTCAATGAAAGCGTAGAGCTGGGTGTGCGTGAGTACACTGCAAATACAGGACATCCATTGTACATGCATTCAGTGGAGATCCAATATTTCATCATCGTCATGCTTGTTGGAACGGGGCCAAACACGTGGCGCGTAGTCTTGTGCTCAAGACGCTTGGTCTTCTATAACAAATCCCAGAGACTTTGTGCACGATTTTTCTCGTCAGCATTTTAGTCATAAAGCACACTCATTATGACATTGAAACTTAAGATAGTCAAAGAACATATAGAAAAGGTCATTGGCAAAGATAGACGCAATGATGACGTCATCGTGTGATTTATTATGAAATTTTAAATATTTATTTTAGCCCATAGACTTTGTACACAGTTTTTCCACTTTGTGCCCTTCTTTTTCAAGGGACCTTTTTGGCCACTTTTCAATGGGGCATCTTCATCAAAGTAACACCAAGCAAAGACCTTAATGCTAAGATTGTGCCAGAACAATGATGGCATGATGACGTCATCAGGTGTCACATGACAAGTAATTAAACTTTGATAATTTTGTATCTTTAAAAATCTATATAAAATCAATAATGAGATCTGTCGTCTTGCTGTTTGCGGCAAGTGATAGAGTAAATTAAGGTTTTTATTTTTTAACGTGTACGTAAAATCACATGACCCTTGCTTCCGTTCGAAACCAGAAGTGGCTTATTATTGGCTTATTATTTAAAATTGGTAATAGATATAAACTTGCTTTCAACGGTGTTACTGTTAGTCTCTGGCCAGACAATATTCTTCAAAACTTGTACCGGTGACGTCATGAAATTCTCGACCGCCCTCTAGCGGCAGGTTTAAGAATGTCCAAAATGCATTTTGAATAGATGTCTGCGGCGAAGTGTTTTGTAATCGCCTGAAAACTGGTATATATAATGACCTTCATGCAAACAACACATGTGTGAAGTTTGAAGTTGATGACGTCATCAGACCGGACGACGGTCACAACGAAAAGACCTTCTATTCTTCAAAAATCAATCAATCCTGAGAGATATAATCGTGAATTGTCCATTGAATGATAGCTTAAACATTGGCGTCAATTGTGCCAGGTTCGTGGCTTGTCTTATTGTTCACACACGTGACCCGCCGCCGACAAAAATACCCTAATAGTAGTCCGTCGCTCAAAAATTCAATGAAAGCATAGCGCGTCACCGTTCGGCCACGGCATATGGCGCGCACGCCCGCTGAACGTAGCCTGGCTTTTCGTTTGCTTTTCGCGGGCGTACATGTACATGTACATGTCCAGTTATTAGTACGTAGACTCCGAGACAGTCTGAGGAGAAGTACTGTCGTCATGCGAGTACGACTAAAATAGATCGCTGCGCGCGTCTTCGTCTTGGAAAAAGGCAAGACAGAAAAGCATGCATGCGCAGTTAATGTGTCATAACCGGGGTTAAGCTTGCACACTGCATGCACACTGTGATTCGGCAAGTAGAATCAGTGCACTTATTACGCCGTTCGTTTTGTTAGTCTTTACATAAAAAATATTAATAACTTAATTGGACAGTGTTTCATAAAATAGTTGTCTACCCAACCACTCTGCGTTTGTAACAACAAATGCCAAGCTCTAGTTTATATTACACAAGCTGATTTACCCGATCATAGATCGGGTATATAGGGCGTAGTGTTGGGGATGAAAATGTGGGCAGTTAAAATGTAAATGGGGGATCATTGAGGAGACATGCAGTAACAGAAAAACAATTTTTGTGGTGTGATCTGAGGCAATTTCTGACCACTGAATCCAATTTGAGCAAAAGATCATCTTGTAAACATCATTTTCGAGCTTGGGGTAAATTGAATCAGCTACACGGTATTCTGAGCAATAGAATCATTATAGTAGGCTACAATTTCGGGGAAGAAAAAGTGGGGGGGGGGACCAAACAATGTCCCCGCTTTAAAATGTGGGGGGGGGGGGGGTTCCCCCTGTTCCCCACCGATTTACGAACATGATAATTATGTACCCTGATAACTGTCTGTAAATGTATTCCCGTTGGTCTGTTAAATTGGCATTTTGTGAGGCAGTCGCATTGCCGGGAGAACGTAGTGAAAAGGTTACCGTAGTACACAGGCGAAGGCTGATTGTACAGTTTTGACAGTAAATCATAATGTAATCAAACGTGAAGTTGTCATGTGCAATGGAAATGTTGAGTGTTACCATAAAATTACAAACGGTGTGAATGATGGAGGAAGGTCATAATTAAGTTTCAGTATTGGACTCTTTAACAAACGTAAACTTGAACTTCTTACAATTTGCGAGACCGTCTGCGAGGAAAAAGTCGATTCAACTTTTATTCAAGTTGGTCAACCATCTATATAAGAGCAAGTTTTACTCGGCCTCCGAGAAATGTTCGCTCCTGAAAGGTTCCGAGACCGCGGTCTCCCGCGACGCCAAAATGGCTCCACGTCCATAGAAAAATACGGAGAATTTCTTCCGCCGAATCAAGCACTTCAGGTCGTCCTAATTTTTCCGTACGGACCGGCGATCCGTTTTGTCGATTTTTTTGTGACTGCGTTCAAGATCGCAATATTTGAAGCAATGCATCGACCCTTCGTTGATCCCAAACAGGCCCCGAAATTATAACGCGACACTGACTGTGACGTGCAGCGAACTCACAACGCTCAGCCTTGATGGAAGCATTGAGCTAGTGGAAGCATGGAGCTGTAAACACATTATGGAAGCAACAGCACTCTATCACGTCACATGCTTGCGCTTCAAATAGCGAGCACCGTAGACCCAACCTCGTTTCCAGGGTGTGGAGCAGGCTGCAGTACGCGTTGCCATCGACAGTTTTGCATAGCCCGGAAATACTACGCAGTGTAGACTTTCGATTGGTCAGACCGCGCAAGGCATACTTAATGTGTAGTCCTTCTGAGTATTCGTTGCACTCGGCGCAGGGGCGGCAAGCGAAGCATATGAAAGAATAGGGGCACTTGGTGGCCACGCACCATGGAGAAAAAATATTTTACCAAGGTCACCCCATACCACAATTTGGTGAACGCTTTTGCAGAAGGGCCGAGTAGAACACGTAAACGGAACCCCTACGTCGAAGCCGCTGACATCGCACAGTCTAGACACGCAGAATAGCCAGGACGGGGGGCGGCCAGGCAGTCAACGTGAAAGCGTTGACAAATGCCTGCGCAAAATGCAGTCACGAAAAATAGACGAAAAGGATCGCCGGTCCGTACGGGTAAATCAGGACGACCCGAAGTGTCCGACCCGCCGGAAGACACCCTCCGCATTTTTCCACGGACGTGGAGCGATTTTGGCGCCGCGGGAGCCCGCGGTCTCGGATCCTTTCATGAGCAAACATCGTCTCGGAGGCCGAGTTAAACTCTCTCTTATATATATAGATTGTATAACGCCTCACCCACAGATTCTGTGTCTTGATTGGCCGAGAGCGAGTCACATGTTACTTTCTAATTTTGCTATCTTTCTGTGCACAGCCAAAAGTACTATACCCGTAGCAACCAAAGTACTATACCATTGGCAACCAAAGTACTATTTCCACGGCGCGGTATTTGTGTGCAAATGAATGCTTGTGTGCGCGTTGCGCATTGCGCGTAGCGCGTATTGTTCCAAAGAGAGCGCGCCGCAGACTTGGGTTCAAACATTTCGTGGAGGGGTAGTTTGGAAGAGAGAAATACATTTTCCACCAATTTTGTATTGAAATTGAAGTTTATTTCAACTGTGTTCAGATTTAAATAATTTAAAATATTAAAATCAAGCAGAATCTGTGGGTGAAGTGTTATAAAACAAATATTGAATGCTTTATCTCGTGGTGAAGTAAAACTAGCCTCCCTCGATGATCCATGGACCATTCTATTTTCCCTCGGCTTCGCCTCGGGAAAATAGAATTTCCATGGATCACCTCGGGAGGCTAGTTTTACTACACAACTCGAAGCATTCAATATTTGTATACTGTTATTCTAATTAAACTTGAGACTTGTAGAGTAGTGTTGCAATACTTGGTTCACACACAGTAAGGAATTGAGTGCGTACCTTGAGGGTCGCAGTGTCGAGTTGCAGAGAAAACACGCTCAGTGAGAAATCATCGTTCGGCTAAATTCCAATGTGAATTCAAGTACATCTATAGGCCTAGCCAGCAAAGGGGGGGGGGGGGGGTTTAAGGGTTTTTTTTTTACCCCCCCCCAATATTTTGTAAAGACTGCCTTTTTCCATTCAAATGCCCCTTTTCAACGGGCTTACCCCCCAATAATTTGTAAAGAGTGCCCTTTTTTTTAAGAAGTGCCCTTTTTTCTGAGCAAGTGCCCTTTTTTGTGGCATCTGACATTTTGGCTGGCTTTTTCTGAAATTCGCACATGTATCGGTCTAAAAAGCACCATATATTGGCCATTTTTGCACATAATCGTTGGTTTTGAACAGCCCCCCCCCCCCTCGACAGATGGTACCAGCTCCCCCCCCCCCCCCCCCTCCCCTCTCCCCTTTCCACTTTTTGATTTTACGGAGGCCAAGTGTCCGGAGAAAAAAACCTGTCCACATTTCACCACGGATGTGCAAGTGCCCTTTTCAAAAAATTTTACCTCCCAAATAAAAATGACCGTGCTACGCCACTGAAGTACAGTAGCCAGTGAACAGAGTCTTGTGGCGTCGGGCCAGTGACCTCACATGTAAATATTGGTGGTCTAGCTAGTGTTAGGCTGCTGAGTTATTCATTCATTATTTTCATCACTGCATCTGTACTCCACTCCTTCCCCCCGACCCCTCCCTCAAGAGGGCTTAGTACTGTTCCCTCAGCTGACAGCTGATTTTGTCCATTTTTTGTCCTAGGGCTTCCTTCATTACACCATGAATTTTCATCTACATTCTACAATATCCAAAAGCAGGGCTTACCTTGATTGCAGTTAGTGCTGAATCAATGGTGTTGTGCTTGGTCTCTGCTTTGCATCTCGATGCCTCTGTCATTAGATCCATGGCCAATTGGGTCTCGTTAAGGGCAGCATAGGTTAAGGCTAGGTTATGGAGAATCTGTCAACACAAATCACAATTTTTAGGTTTTCCCAGAACTGACTTGAAGCTTTTGCATGGCGGATGAAATACAGTAGAAAGCTCACCCTCCTGAGAGTAAGACAGAGCACACTATCCCAAACGTCAAGTTCTACACTCAACTAACCGGTTCTGTTCAGAACCACACTTCTTCCAAGCAGAGATAACTTTCCACATGGTGTTACCCGCAATCTTTCTACTTTTTCCCAGTTACTTTTACACTTGTATCATTCAAATTTCACGGAAAGCTACATGTACTTTTAATTTGGTTCCAGAACATTGTTGGGCTTTATTGTTACATGTAATTCCAGTTCCGAATTTACATTAATAGATTTAATGATTTAATGATCATCAATAAATAGTTTCAATGCGGTACCAGTTGGAACCACCAGCCTAGCCGACCCCGGTGGGCTTGGTGGTCGAGTGGTGGGACGTCTACTCTAATAGGCGCATTCTCATAATCACTTGGGGGCAACACCGAGTATACAGTGTTTATAAAAAAAATATATCGGTGGAAGGGCAACACCCATGTTGAATGAATACATGTAGATTTTAATACTTGGTGCAGTGTGATTCCAAAATATTTACAGCATTGAATAAAAAAAGTAATTTGGTCTTTATCATTCGTTTTCGCGATGTGGTCATTCCCATTCAGTTGATATTAAAGTCATCATAAACCTTATACGTGTACATTAAGACAGAGATAGAGGGCAACATATTGTTGTGTATCACTTGGATAGGCATAACTTTTGTTCCTGCGTTGTTACTGAATTGAAATAACAAATAAAAGCCTCTAATATATCTAAAACGCATCAGTTTTTTTCAAGTTCAAATATTACACACACCCGATTTTCATGGTCATTTGCATTCATAGATAGAGAGTCACAACAAATGAATATTCATATACAGGGTGTATCAAAAAAAAGTATACACTTAGAGAAATGTATCAAAAAAGGATGTTTTATAAATTTTCAAAAATCTGTCACTAAATATTGATGGACCAAGGTCTTACGCTTCATTTGCCACCATGTCAATCTTCAGCTGTTCTGCATGAGTGAACACTAGCTATTTACTTTCACCAGATTTCAATTGGCTTGCGCACAAAAGTGAAATGGTTAAAACATAATCAAACACCGTGGTAGGGAAGTTTAGGCATGTGCTTTGTTGCTCACAAACTTTCATGAAAATTGGATTAACCCTTAGTCCTCCACAGGCCCACCAAGTTTGGACTCAAGTTGCGCCTTCCTCAAAACATTAACAACAGCATGACCTTACAAGTCAATGATTAGGCCTAATGGTAACCGTCATGAGGGAATGCAACGTTTGCACTTCATGCATGCCCGATTCAGTCTTCGAAGTGGCCACCATTTCTTTGCACACAGACTTCTGCCCTCCTCAGCATGTCATAAACTGCGCACCTAATCATTGCGGCATCCTGCCTCACAACAGCAACTTCGGCAGTAACACGTTCTTGCAGGTCATCCAGGTCTCTTGGTGGAGTGGTGTACACCTTAGACTTAACATGGCCTCACAAGAAAAAGTCCAGTATGGGGTAAGATCGGGCGATCTTGGGGGCCACTCGACGGGCCGGTTTTAATGCGATGAAGCGATCGCCAAACAATTCAGTGAGACGTTCAGTCACGATCCTCCTCTTGTGCGGTGGTGCCCCATCTTGCGCCCACCAGGCACGCCTAAATTGTCCATTTCTTCTGCCAGGACGATAATGACGAAAATCATTGACATGCTGAGGAGGGCAGAAGTCTGTGTGCAAAGAAATGGTGGCCACTTCGAAGACTGAATCGTGCATGCATGAAGTGCAAACGTTGCATTCCCTCATGACGAGTACCATTAGGCCTAATCATTGACTTGTAAGGTCATGCTGTTGTTAATGTTTTGAGGAAGGCGCAACTTGAGTCCAAACTTGGTGGGCCTGTGGAGGACTAAGGGTTAATCCAATTTTCTTGAAAATTTGTGAGCAACAAAGCACATGCCTAAACTTCCCTACCACGGTGTTTGATTATGTTTTAACCATTTCACTTTTGTGCGCAAGCCAATTGAAATCTGGTGAAAGTAAATAGCTAGTGTTCACTCATGCGGAACAGCTGAAGATTGACATGGTGGCAATTAAAGCGTGAGACCTTGGTCCCATCAATATTTAGTGAAAAATTTTTGAAAAATTATAAAACATCCTTTTTAGATACATTTCTCTAAGTGTATACTTTTTTTTGATACACCCTGTAGACTATCTTTTTTAAATGAATAAAAGAAAGTAGAATCAAAATTTTCAGCTTGTCATTTACAAAACTGAATGACAGGGGCATTTAAATGAATGATAAAACTTTGACTTTCCTTCTTCAACTGAGTGCCAATCTCCACATGAGACGACTTTTACAAAACCTGGACAAATCAGAATGCCACGTTTGCAAATTAGATTGGATGAAATACGAAATCTATTGGCATACCGGTACATAAACGATGGTGCCCACTGCCATTCTAGAATGAAATTAAAGTATCTTTCCATAGAATTTAAAAGATAGTTGTGTTTCAGTATTAAAATTCCTAAAATCCAAAGGGATTTTCCATTCTAGTAACTAAGAAAACATTTCACCTCTGTTTACCTACATTTGCATATTAGCGCACAAGGGCACAAACCTCGCTGAATCAAAAGGCGCCAAAGCCACACCCTGCATGTCCCTTGTAAGGCCCTGTAACATTAAAAGGCTTGACCTAGTTATTGGCTGTTTTGTCAACTTGCCCAACAGCCTTTGTTTTCGTTGAATTTTCTTTTTCCTTTTTTAGACTTTTGTCCACAGCATTTGTTCACGTTTTCAACGTGCCTGGCACTTTGGGGACTAAAATCAATTTAGACCAGCACCTGCAGATGGTGCCGTACATCACGTGACATCACAATAAAGGTGTATATTTTGAAGGTCTATATCTCCCGAACTACAGGTCTGATTGAGTTGAAACTTGGTACGTCCCCAGACCGGGATGTGCTATAGATGAAAATTGAAGTGACATCAAGATGAGATCATCCCATCTCATGCATCGCTGCCAACTTTTCAAAATCCAAATGAGTAATCAACCCGCGCAGTCATTTTCAACTGCACGTAAATTAACAGTGCATGTACCAGCTATACCAATATCACATATACATGTAGTACATGGTACATGTGCATACCTTCTTTTCGTGATTAATCACTATAAAACTGTCCCTTTTTGTTGCCTTGGAAGTCATGAAGATGTCATGCATAAAGTTCAAAAAACGTTTTGTGAATACTATACGAACATGATCAAAACTTGGGACTCACATGGCAATCTTTTGGGTGCCTTCTTGAATTTTAAGCGAGTGTATAACACACACTGGTTCCAAGTCATTTGCACACATAATACAAACTGGCTGGTGCCCAGCAGTAACACTGATGTCCAAATTACTTGGCTACGGCTTGATTTTACACACGTCTATGGTACGGCCGCTGCAGCTGTGTCCCATAGGTTCGTGTGCAATTTCACACCGTAGCCGATAATTTGGACATGGCTTATATCTAACCGATTTTTCAGCATTTCAGTTCATAAAATCACTGTACTGAATTAAAAATATAAATGATTTTGAAGAAATTCACAATAAAGTGGGACAAATTTGTAATTCAGAATTGTATTTTCATAATGATTCAACCAAATTCGGAGAGGTTGGCAGGTACATGTATGTGTCATGTGACTTTATATTAAATGTGCATATTTTGAAGGCCTACCGGTTTATCTTCAAACGACAGGTTCAATTGGGTTGAAATATGTACATGTACTGTGACCAATTTATCTGAAAGAGAAACTCCAAGCAGTTGGGCCCAATAACTTGACACGCTGAGTGTTTCCTGGGGTTGAGATTTTGGTCCTCGATATCGGAAGGTTTTACTACAGATTCCAATAATATTCTATGTGCTCTTGTAGGCTAACAAACATGTGAAAGGTTTCCTGGGGAGTAGCACTGATTTGAAGGCTCTTCCCCCCAGATATTTTTGACCAAACGGTCAAACCCAAGAAAATAGACCTGGTTTGCTTTGGTGGAAATAGTGTGCTTGGAGTCCTGGATGGTTGCTGTTAAATTTACATGATGTGCACGCTACGCATCAGAGAGAAAAAAAAGGACGAGCCTTTGTATAATTACAGGGCCTTATAAAGGACATGCAGTGGGCACGGAGGGTGTGGCTTGGGCGCCTTTTTATTCAGCAAGGGGTGTGCGCTTGCGTGCTAATGTCCAAATGTCCGTGTCCAAACAGAAGTGAGATGTTTTCTGTAATGGAATGGGAAACCTATCCTTGTTCTAACGATATTTAAAATTCTTACATGTAATTCAGAAATTTTGATATGTAGACGGACCAAATGCAAAATTCCATCTTATGAATAGACAGAGCTCTTTTCCGCTGTTTTGCAAAATCACAATGTTTCCAGTCATCTTTATTAACACAATTTTGAATCTTTGCACTTAAATAAAAAAAACAGTGTTCTTACTGAAAGTGACATATTCACACAGTTCCCAAAGAAGAAATGGAAAACAGGAAATTTTTCTTACAATCAAGATTTGTACTTAAATTTAAGTTACTTAGATTATCATTTCAAGATTCATAAATTTGTCTACTGCATTTATATCATACCTCACACTCATGTAACTTGTACTGCAGCCCTAACTGTTTGTAGTCAATGAACTTGTTTCCCCGAAGGCAAGTACGGGCTTTCTCCAGACTGTGTAAAGCTGCATCGTAGTTGTGCTGCTGGTAGTAGGTCTGTGCCAACTGGAAATGAGCAATTCCCATGTGCTGGTCCTTTTCAGTTGATTTCTTTAAAGTCTATGGGGGAAAAAAAAGAAAATGGCAGTTTATTAGACACAGCCTAGGCACATAAATTATGGAGCAGATTCATTTGTAGTACTATAAATAATTTGTAATCTTAATTTTTATTACACCTTTTTGGGTAGAACACAGTGTAGAGAATGAAGTACAAGTACATGTATCCTTAACCCACTTTTCACTACAAGAGCAGAATCAAACTTTTTAAAATACTACAACTTTGGCTTCCACAGTAGGTACTTCACTCATGAGAAGTGTTCCATTAGACTTCGGCAAATCCATCATTTTGGCAAAAAAAAAAAATACCCCCAACCCCCCCCCCCCCCAAAAAAATCCACCCCCCCCCAAAAAAAAAATCCACCCCAACAAAATAAACAAAACCATTAAAATCAAAACCACTACTAACCAGGTCATTATGGGGTGTCATTGCTCTCTTATAGATGTTTAATTGTTAGCAAATTTATATAAAAGTCACGTTTTGGGCAGGGGACACAACCAAATAAAATGTTCTGTGTTCCACAACATTTGATTTTTTTTACCCCTACAGAAAACACGCAAGATTAAAATCAGAGCTCACCTAAGTTCAGCACTTTCAACCAAAACAAGTGAAAATTGTGAGAAACATCCACTGAAAAACTGGCATTGCCAATGAATATACATGTACCTACAAAATCTACAGGAATATTTTGAATATTTTAATTTAATTTTCCTATCATTTGCCGATCCACCAGTCCGAATATATTACAAGATTGTGACATTGTGATCACACAAAAAATGTACCAGTATAAAATCAAACCACACCCCTTGTGGTCACGATGTGCAGGTTTTGTGCACTACTTCTCTGTATATCCCTAGCCCTAATAATAATAATAATAATAATAATAATAACCATATTTATAAAGCGCCTTTTCCAAAGGATGCAAAACGCTAGGGGAGAATGCAACCAAATTACCAAAACCAAAATGTGATTGTCCAAAAAAAGAGCCTATAAATACATGTCTTACACAGAATCAAATACAAATTAGAAGGTACGATTTAACAGATGTGTTTTTAAGAGTCCCTTAAACTGCTCTACAGATGAAGCGTTCCGGATAATAATGGGGAGAGAGTTCCAGGAGAGAGGACCAGCGATGGAGAATGCACGGTCTCCAAGCTTTCTGGAGGATCGAGGTACCACCAGATTGGATTGTGATCGAAGACCTTCACGTTTGGGTTTGCTGAAATCTAATGTGTCCGAAATGTATGGTGGGGAAGTGTTGGATACAGTTTTGTACATGTTCAGTGCCATCTTAAAAGTGATCCGCTGGTTGACTGGAAGCCAGTGGAGATCCAGGAGCAGAGGTGTGACATGGAAATACTTCGGCTTCATATGGGTCAGTCGAGCAGCCTTGTTTTGGAGCATGGGCGTCACGAGGGGGGGGGGGGCAAGGGGGGCACTTGCCCCCCCCCCCCCCCCGGGGGGGGGGGGGGGAAAGGAAAAAAAAAAAAGAGAAAAAAGAAAAGAAAAAGAGGCGCGAAGTCATAGTATAAATTTAATGGTGGGGAGGGGGGGGGCAAAATGTCCCTGCCCCCCTCTAAAACTGATAAATCGAGATTGTGTTGAGAAATACAGGCATTTTGTTGGCAAAAATATGCTTTGCCCCCCTCTAGAAAAAATCCTGGCGACGCCCATGTTTTGGAGTTGTTGTAGGCGGTTGAGATCACGTTGCTTAAGTCCGGTGAGAAGAGAGTTGCAGTAGTCAAGGCGTGAGAGAACCAGTGCACGAACAACAGAGTGACAGGTGTCGTAGTCCAGGTATTTGCGGATCACTGTGATGTTGCATATGTGATAGTTAATGGACCTGCACAGACCAGTGACATGTTGACTCATTGACATGGAGTTGTCAAAGGTTACTCCCAAGTTCCGAACAGATGAGACAGGATTGATGGTTGTGTTGCCTATCGTGAGGGTTAGTAGCTGAAGACGTTTGAATTGATATGGCGACGATGCTATGAAAAACTCTGTTTGGTTTTCATTCAGCATGAGTTTGTTTGCAAGCATCCAGGTTTGAACATCCTGAATGTAGTTGGATAGCCTAAACAAGCAGCACTCCGTGCATCACACGGAGTGATAGGATTAAAATCCAGGTAGATTTGAATGTCATCAGCATACATGTGGTAACTTACTCCATGCCGATGAAGGATGTCCCCAATAGGAGTAATGTACATGGTGAAAGCACGTGGACCGATAACAGATCTTTGAGGGACACCAAACTCAAGGTGATGGACATCGGAGTTGGCACCTGCAGAATGAACCCAATGTGTTCTTCCTGTGAAGTAGGACAGGGCTGTTCCAGTGATTCCAAATCAATCACGGAAGCATTGCAGTATGATATCGTGGTCAAGAGTATCAAAAGCAGCAGAGAGGTCGAGCATTACTAAGAAAACAGCTCTGCTGTTGTCCATTGTACGGAGGATGTCATTGTGTACCCTGAGCAGAGCCGTCTCGGTGCTGTGACCAACTCTGTATGCTGACTGCAACGGATCCAGTAGCTTGTGATCGTCCAGGTATTGAGTGAGTTGGGAGCAGACTACTGTTTCATTGACTTTGGACAGGTAGCGGATGTTAGAAACTGGGCGATAATTCTTAAGATCCTCTTTATCCAGTGAAGGCTTTTTCAAGATTGGTGTTACTATTGCATCCCCCAGACTCTCCGGAAAGACGCCTGATTGTAAGGATGCATTAACAATCTCAGTCAACTTGGGAAGAAAGGTCATAATGTGACGCTTGAGTAACGATGTGGGAATAGGATCCAGTTGGCACGATTTATTGGTAGATCGCTGAACAATCTTCAAGAGTTTTTCAGAAGTGACAGGATGAAAATCAGACAACTGGCAATCTGGAGACGGCGAGGTAACAGGCAGTTGCTCGTCGACATGGTGATCGGCAATAAACAAACGAATCAAACATCAAGAGATGGGGTAGTGAAAGAAGAAAATGAGACCAACTTGCCAATCAAATGGAAGTACTGGCCTTCAGTCAGCAACTTCTCATCTACATGCACAAGGAAATTCCCCATGATGAGAAATAACTTGCCTGTCAAACCAAGTGATGCAAGATCATTTTCCCCTCGCTTTACACTTGTCTGGTGTTCTATTTACAACGGGTTTTAGGTATGAAATGCTTTCATATTAAAGCTATAGTCCATCATTTGCAGGTATTAGAAAAGTATCTGGCATAAGTATTGTTGAAAAACATATTTGGTTGAAAGATAGTAAGGGGACTAAACTCCCTGTGAAATTATTCTTTCTGGCAAGCTGTCATTTTGAAGTAATCAACGAAAAAAGGCCTTTCCAACGGTACTTCATAACCCTAACCCTCCAGGGTATATTGGCTTGAAACCCTGCCAAACGCAGCAACATGCAACACTTGTCTAAGTGACAAGCCTGCCCAGTGTAGCAAGATCCATCAGGCCAAAAGTCTCAAGGCCAAACTGCCTCAGAGTGTGTGGTCCCCCAACGCAGCAGGATACAACTGTGGCATTGTTCTATGGGACTAGCTCTCAGTGTCTCAGAAGTGGCCGGTTTATGCACTGGTGTTGGTAGCATTTTCAATCAAAGTGCACCAGACTTTTCCACCTGATGCACTGTGATGTGTCTGGCAGGGTTAGGGTTTTAAGATGCACCGTAAGAAATTTAAATATGTAGTTCATTTTGTTATTCGGCAAAGCGCGCGCAAGCATTGGCACGACGCACGCGTGTTTGCTATAATTCGTCGGATCAGTGCACGACATGGCGTAGCTGCAATCGGCTCAGTGAGAACGTGTCTCGGACGCTGAATTCAGGCCCAATTCAAAGCATGATTCAGCAACTTTTGATTTGAAATTGAGATTCTAGAATGCTGTTTTTCTCGGAATATACAGCTGAAGCTGAGCTGAAACTTCATAAGGTTGGTTGTTCAGTACCCTTCTTTAGATTTTGAGCATTTTTGTTGCTTCAAACGAACAAAATGCACAAATTACTAATGATGGACTATATCTTTAATGATTTTTCACCTCAAATGCATGTGGAGCTTTGCAGTTAATATTTCGAAATATTTAATGCTGGGATTTGGAAATAGCCAACTTTTCATCGCCACTTGACGGTTGTAAGTAAGTGCAGGACTGTATTGCTTTTGATGGAGGACAGCATCTTACTTTTGAAAGATGGTGTTAAACCCATTCATGTTTTGTTTTTTTTATTGTGTATTTCCTTTTACATGTCAATCTATTCAAACGTTAACTTTCTCTATTGTAATGACGTATTGAACTTGGGGGCACAGTCATCATGTTTTAGCACTCTGTATTGTTCCCGCGCGAAGTTGCGTTTCATACAAAAGCCTTCAAAGTTCAGCATTCATGAGCATCCAACACACCAGGCGTTGCACACGGTATTGTGAAATTGGGACAACTTATGTAACACCTTAAATTAATATTTTGAAATATTTAATGCTGGGATTTGTTTTTCGGAAATTCAAAGTAGCCAACTATTCATCGCCACGGCCGGCCGTACGAACGTGATTGATTCAGCGAGATTTTAAGACAACCGATTGTGCTGGCATGACATTGAAATACATTGTCAATGTGTGGAAAACAACTGAAATCAAGGATTATAGTGGTTTTAATAGGCTGATGGGATGTTTTGCAAAATATGGTAAAATATTGGGCAGAGCAAATCTGTCCGTGAAGGTAGGTAGGTAAGGGGGGGGGGGGGAATGTGTACAATCATATGGAGGCGTCTGCGTGTAGTCAAAGGTAAACGTATGGATGTTTTTTTCTCATTTTCCAATAAAAAAAATTAGGATAGGGGCTGTCAGGTAGGAAACCGGAAGCAGAACTATTATATTTTGGCCTTGTCAATATATTCCTTACAGTTCTCACATGGAGGCATATCCTCTGAGGTACAAGTTAAGCCCCCCAAAATGTTTTTTTTTTCTGGTTCGAAAGTAGCATCAGGATGCAACATTCTTTCCGTATTCTGTG